TGAGGTGGAGGCCACCCATGCCTAACTTGACTGGAAAGGCCGAACAGCCACACTGGTGTTCCCCCCTTCTCAGGCACCCAAATCACTGAGCAAGAACATCTGAAGACAATGGCTTTCTGGCTTTCTTCTGCTTTCATTTAATGTTTCAATATATAGTGTAACAAGTTGTAGGAAGAGAGAGACAGAGGGCAAAACCAGAGCTGCCACATTTGAGAGCTGAAAAAGGTCTAATGAGCTAGTCATGATGTATTCAAATGTTATTTTTAAGGGAAGAATCATGTTTTAAAATAAGTCTGTAAAATTGGCAACTTTGCTTTCAACAGATCTGCTGGCTCTAAGCATCCAGCTCTACTTCCTCCAAGCAAGGGGTGTTAAATATCGGGACATAAAAGCTGATACAAGTTACCAAAAAAGAAAAAAGTTCCAGAACATAAGTACATTAATATCCTAAATATTTTTATTCTGACAAATTTATGATTTTTTTTTCCTATCAGCTGAAGGAACAAACAGAAGAAAGAAGCTACTACCACTCTCTGCTTACATCTTAAGATTACCAGAGAAATTTAAATTGTTCTCCTGAAATGAGCAACCACACCACCATGGTATGGTTAGAAGGTCTGTCCTTTTCTTCCTCCTGAACAGATACGCTGTCTTCTGCTCATATCATAATTGCTTGCCCACAAAACCAAGACATCAGGGAGGAAGTCAAACAGATTATCCTCCTCTTTGCATAGGATAAAACAACAAATTTATTAAAGGGCTACAAGTGTTTTTCATGTGAACTTCACTAACCACAAGTATTGCCAGGTTAAAAAATAAAAGTCAAAAGACACTGGAAAAATAAAAGGTGCATGTGCCCAGCAAAATTTTATCACCAATGATGGCAAAAATATTCAGCTTGATTCCTAGATGCTGACAGAGATAGCACTCCAACATGAGAAAGAAGAGTTGTAATGAATAAACTAGGCACTTCAATCCCAAGAAAGAAGCAATTAGTATCCTCTCATGGCTGTTCCTTGTCAAAGCAGTCCTAAGCTAGTCAAACAGCTTCACTCAACCTCAACAGGCCTGTTCTCCATACAGTCCAACTGAAATGAAAGGGACTTTTCCAGAAGTAGTGTCACCGTGAGAAAAAACACAAGAATATTAATTAGGTTTAGGGTTTTTTGTTTGTTTATTTTTTTAACCAAATAACTTCAAAACTCTACTTGGCCTCTGCTTTTGAAAAGTTACCATCATGAATGCTGAATTCCATTAATTGGGAAAAACAAAAAAAAAAAGATTTCTTCTGATCTTTGGCATTGTTCAAATTCTGAACCCAAAGCTGAACCGAATTCTTTTTGGTACTTAATGGCTGCCAGAAGTAATTCCAGAAATCTGAAAGTTATTACTTGGCAATGTTTAGTATTGTTATTTTATATTTACCCAAAATACAGTTGTATTTTTCAGAAGTCCTATGTAATTACTGCATTTCAAAATGTACCACTTACTATAACAAGTTCATCTGTGCTGTGAGATGTAACAGCTAACACAGCCCTGGCATGACAACTACAGCATGAGAAAGTGCAGACAACGGAGGAATAAGATGTATTGCATTTAAATTTCACACGGAGTGAGCACCATGTGTCTGACGCAACAGCCAGAGAAACAGCTGAAAACAGTACCATGCAAAAAACAGCTCCTCCAACAGCACTGTGCCATTTACACATTTTAAATGTAATCTGGTTGATTATCTCACATTTTCATTCTAATTTATTTTATGGAATCAGAGATTTTGGAATGCTTCAGACCCTTTCTATGTATAGTATCACAATGCAGCATGCTTTAGCTCACCACTAAAAAGTAGTAGAGGTGCAAGGATCAATAGTCACTTAACAGTGTAAAAACATAAAAGGTAAAAAGGAAAGGAATATGGGAAACAGGAAATAGTTTAGAATCAGCACAGGGGGTTTTTTGTTAATATCGAAGAGTCTCCTTGTTTCCCATTTTAACTAGATGGGTCACATTTTCTGCTGTCAAAATAGGCATGACTTCACTAAACTTGTGGAACTAATCCGTTTTATCCTAGCAGAAGATATGTCTCTAGACTCTTGATTTCTGATGCCGTGAGAACAAAATAAGGCCTTATGTGATGAAGTAATTAAAACCAAGCCACTTTAAAATGTTCAGTAAATACTGTAAATCTGCTTATGCTGACAAGATATTACGTTGCTTGAAAAAATGACCCTTATTCATGCACTTTCAGAGATAAGAAGAACTGTATTGTTTTACTTGTAAAATTTGGCGACAGAATTGTATGTTGGTTTACAGACACGCTTATTATTTGACTCTAGTTTAGGTGCCTATTTTTAAACATTTTTCATAATAGAAGTATGAAGTAATTATCCTGTGTCTCTGTTGGATCAATGTTCTTTGAAAGACATGGTTATATAGAAGGCACTGAATATGCTGGAATATCTCAAAGGAAGACGGGCAGTTACTAGTAACTTTGGATGACTTTCAAAGACATTGACAGATACTATCAACCTCAAATTAATTAAAGTGCTAGGTACTGACATTCTTCTTTACCCTTAATAAAGCGTATATTCTGTGTCTTTATCAGTTATCACTAACATCTTCATACCACCCTTATAGGAGCATTGAAATTCAGGATACTGAGTTTATTGTACTGCAATGCAAATACTGCTGGATGTCTGTTGTGTCCTCTTCACTGCTATCGGTTTTATCATTAAGTTAATGGTATTGTTGGTGTTAGATCTAAAATTAGAACTGCTGCTCTAAGAAAAAACTCTTTCACAAAGACACACTTTTGTTTCAGATCTCAAAAAGAACATACAGTACTATCAAAATAAACTGGATAATATATTTAACCAAAATAGTATGACATACTTGTCACAGCATGTAGGCATAATGCACTCAGCATCAGGAGATTCTACAAAAATTTTGTTCATCAGCCTATACACCTAGCTGCATACAGTACATACAGTAACTGCTTTTCAGAACAACATCAGGTGGTGAGTAGAATGAGTGCATTTTACTTCTAGAGAAATCAGCTGAAAGCAAAGAGAGTAACAGAGTGTCGTGGTACATTTTAATACCGGAATTCTAATAGCAGTAGAGGTGAGTGGTTACCAAGTATGCCAGTACCATTAGTTCATATTACATATCATGCTGCATACAACTTTTTTTAAATCGAAGAAGACGAATGTAGGAAACTATAACTCTGAAGAATGCTTTGCCTTTTTCTTTTAACTCAAAATACAAATGAATTCAATGCTATTTATTTTAAACAGACATTATACAACTGTGCACCCATCCAGATATACATAAATATCATATAATTTAATTGATGAGATAAGCTGTGATTCAGACATCTCTAAAATGTGTTAACGTTGATTTGTAAATTCAAAAATTTCACTGTATTAAAACTCTCCATAGGGTGCAGGGTCAAGTATTCTATTCCCAGAATCTTATAAAGATTATTATCCATAATATTATCAGACTAACTAGTTGTTACACAGACCACTTTACTAGTCACACACCATATGAGAGATGTTTCTCCAGTCTAAATAACTGATTAGCAACAGTAATTTCCTGATGTTCCTATTAAGTTTCACCATTCTCCTTTTATTCATACAAATCTTTTATTCATACAAATCTTTAATACTACTATCTTTACTCCACATGGATTGAATTAGTTAAAATCTCCTACCAAATATCATCAATTGGCCAGTTTCATGGCTAGTTAAAATATGGGGAAGAGCATAGAGATGACTTCAAAGAAATTTAGCACATGATTTAAGTAAAAGTGCGTACCTTGCCTTCTGAAAGAAAATTTTCATCTAGAAAATCTAGTATCTAAATTTTTCCATGGTCCTGTTAAATGAGTCACATTTAATCTCTGAGAGAGTAGAAAAGCATGCCATAGGCTAAATGCGGCTTAAAAATGTGGTATTTGTTTTTGGATTCCTTCTGCAATAAGGATGCTAATTTGACAGACTACAGTGGTACAAGCAAAACAAATAAGGAAAACGAGAGAGTGGTGTGTTATTGTTTCAGCTGCCACTTGCTAGTACACCTTTCAAATAAAATACAACTTTCATGTGTATAGCCTGTTTTGACTTATGTACTGAAAAACTGTAATTTTTCTCTTCCATATCCTTTTGGTACTTTTTTTGCCACCATCTTTCTTCAAGATGAGAAAAGAAAAAGGAAATAACTCGCAATGACAACTATTTCTATATTGTTTTCTGCACTGCCCTTCTGTTTTCTGCCCTTTCACCCTTTTCAAACCAAAGCAATAGAAACTTCTGCTTCAAAAGCAGAAGGACCTATCTCTTGCCCAACCTTCTCTATATCTATGTAATGCCAGGCTGTCAAACGAGGCCAGCTATTCCTCTTTATTTCCTACTGATATGTGAAGTCCAAAGGTACTCAATTGTGCGTGTTTGAAGAATGAATAAAAACTGAAGCATATCAACATTTTTGCCCAAACTGCAGGGATACATTTTTAGAGCAAGGTGAAGGGATTTAGATGTGTGACTTCCGATTACCTTAATGGCAGCCATCTGGTTCAACATCAATGCATTATACTGAAATTTTATCCCATGCTGCACATAAGTAACGTAGTAATTTACAACAGGCCATATTTATTAGCCAAGGGCTAAGAAAGAATATTTTTGAAAGGGAAAACATTTTGCATTTATTCTACTAAGGCCTCCAGAAGAGTATTTATTTTAACTGGAATAAAAACAACAAACAGCAAAAATAAGTAGCACAAACCTCTCTCCTCTGGCCCTTGTTTTATTTTCACTGTAAAAACAATCTTCTTGTCAATAATATGGGCATGTATTTAAATTTGGGAATCACACAGTGAAGGATACTATTTCAGACTAATTTCAGACAATGCCTGAAATGTGTATCTCAGATTAAAACATTTCTCCCAGCTTTTGTCCAAGAAACATAGCAGGCTGTATCTTCAACACCAGATGAAAACTCACCTTATTACAAAGTCATGGCCATCAATCTCTTTTCCACATCCACTGTCCAGAAGGATGCCAGAATTCCCAACAACCGCACAGGTTTTAAATCGGCGATTCTTCATTGGTGAAACTTCAGGGAGAAGGCTGTGCAAATCCTGAGAAATGTTTAGGGTGCGACGTCTGTCCAGGACATAATGGATTACATCTCCTGGCTTGAAACTGCTTTTGACCACTGAGACATCTCTTTCAGCATCCAAGAATCGAAGAATGTTCTTTCTGGGTTGACAGAAAAATGCACAGATAAAACCCAACACTCACTGCTCGCATGGAGTTTATCTAATAGTAATACAGACTGTGCAGAGTGTACAACATAAAGCAGAGGGTAGATAGTGTCAGACGGACTAAGATCATTTACCGTGCTCTAAGATGGAGTTAGAGCAAAGCTGTTAGGATGGAGTTCAAATCTTGGTTACAATATAACATGTAAATACTACAGTGATAGAGCTTAATGACTTCCTACAGACAAAGGCACTGAGAGACCAAGGAAAGATGACTTTGGAAATTAGAAGGCATACTATTTTTGAGTATTTTACAAAATTTTGGAATAAACACGTATTTGAAAAAGGACCAGAGCAGTTTGTTTTCACAGAAATATCATAGAAACATAGTTAAATGTATGAGGTATTTATGATTTAGGAAGTAAATGCTTCACTACAATCTCATCTCTCACAAATCAGTTTGGTTCAGGAATGGCCATGTTTTCTTATAGATTCTTATTTCACCATAAGAACAACATATTCAGTTTAGCATAAACTTGCTCCTAATTAACTGAAGTTCAGCCAAAGTTATCCTAATTAACTTGAAATAAGAACACCCACAATCTTTTGTACTAATTTAAACAACATCAGCTTAAAAACATACAGCAAATTAGACTACTGCAGTCAAGCTGTTAGCTGAACTCATAGAAACACTTATGAACTCTATCATCACTTTAAATCAGGTGAGTCCAATCTTGTAATGACCGACACCTGACTGGCAGTGTCGAGCAGTTTTCAGTACGCATTTGTCCTTGGTATAAAAAAATCGGGAAGGACTCCAGGCCAGAGCTGCAGGAGCCACTGGTAGCTCAAGATTGCAGATGAACAAAGCCTTACAAGCTTGTGTCCATCCCTGCTCTGCAAAGCATGTACATTTGTGAAGAGGCATAAAGATCACATCTGAACTTAAGTACAATACCCTTAGGGAATAGACAGGGAGTGCTGAGCTGGGGCAGGGTGTTCACTATGTGTTAATTTGAATAGAAACTTTTGCCTCTGCAACTCTAACAAGACAAGAAGAAAAACAACGTATTTTCCACTGCTGTCAGCAGGTAAGGTGGAATTTAAAACAGAATAGACATTTTGTTGAGTAAGAGAATGCTATTTTTATGTAATAAGTTTTTAGAGCAGAACTTCCTTAGCGCAGATCAAAACAGGAAAGATAACTAGAAATGCCACTCTAGAAGTTGCAACACCCACTGGGAGACATAAAGGGGAAATAATCCCCCACAAGTGAAAAGGGATGAACTATAGGAACACCACGCTCACCAACAGCCAGTTCTTGTGCCACTGCCTCAAGAGGGAAGAATACGTCTGAAGCTTTCAACCAGTGACACAAAATACTCACCCTGGAACTGACCTTAAAAGCCACAGGGGAAATGAAACATGATAAAAATATTTTTTCAAGTGTTTCCTCTCATTTCTTAAACTAGGACAAAAAAAAAAAAGAAACATCTTGGGCTGTCTGTTACAGCCGTCATGTATGAATGAAGCAGCAACAGAGCAAAGACAGCTTGTGCTAAGGCATATGAGGGACTCAGACTAAAGAAGCAGGATAGACAATGTTAAAATCCTGACTGTCTAAAGCTTTTGATAAGGCCAGGCAAGTTATTTCTGTAAAAGGAAGATGAAGACTCCACTTCAGCCTGTAAGTTGAATGGACTTAAAATCTCCTTGGGTTTGATAAGCTTCATTTTGTGGGTACTCTGCAACAGATATATAAATTGCCATAAAATGAAAAAGAGCAAGAAAGAAGGAATTGCCTAATCTAGCAGACACAACAAAATAATTTAAAATAAGTGCTAATCCACATCCAGCTGCATACAAAATTCAAAAGTAAGCTCAATTAGAGGACGGAAAACAACAGCGTGATTTTTAGTAAACCTTGAAGGAAATGTGTTCTGCAACCTTAACCTAAAATGTGTAAAGAAACTGTTTCATTTGAGGTGGTCTTCAAGTTTTGTTTTGATGAATAAAACTGTATCTGGGGTGTGGCCTGAGCCCTTTGTGAACAGGTGAGGCAGACGTGGCTCATCTTATCTGAAGCTAAGCAGCTGTTTGCAACATGTTTACATGACTTGCAGAAACACCGTGTCACAATCTTGTGGTTGACCCAAGGTTTTTCTTTGATAGCCAGAAACAGATGTCCGTAGTATTTAAATACCAACTACAATTCCCAGTTATCTGATAAAGTACATTTAACAGACAGCATTGTCTCTGAACAGCTTTCCAAATGATGTAAATACCTATTGCTCTGGGGCAACCTGGTGACATTTTTCTACTTACGTGCATTTTTCTGGTTTTATTTTGTACTGTAGTCTTGGTACTACACAACTATTATGCAAACTCTCCCTTACCTGCCTCAGAATTGTGTGGATTAAGGGAAGAAAATAAATCACTTAAACATTGGATTTTCAAGATTACAAATACATTTTTTTCAGACACTGTCAGGAACACGGAAATATGACCTCCAACACTTTTCCTGGGAAAATCATTCTTTTTGAGCAAGGCAGTGCCAGAAATCCTCGCTGCTGGGGCATCTGGCCTTGTCTGGACCCCAGCTGTGAGGGGAAGCCTCTGAAGTGCATCCTCAGTACCCAGGAAGCTGGGCTAGCTCACCAGCATTATGGAAACAGAGACGGCCTAAGTGATTACCTAGTCCACACTCTGCCCCCACTGAAGATGTGCCTTTATCTACATCACCCCCAGACCATGTTTATCTAACATATTCCTAACAACCTCCCATGGTGGGGACTCGGCAAACTCCCCACGCAGTCTACCTCAGTGCTTCCCTAGCCTTACCTCGTGCTAGCTCAGATCTTTCCCACAGCAACTGAGGCCTGTTCTTGTTCCTCATACCTTGCCTGTGGAGGACAGGCTATTTCTTACTCTTGGCAACAGCCTTCACTTACCTAAGAGGCTAAGAAGACATCCAACTTTTTTTTAAAACTTTTATTTTTTGACTGGACAGGTCATGTGTTGTAGATCTCTGACCCCTCTTGTTGCTTTCCTGCAGACTTTCTCTGACTGATTCACATAGGTCTTTAAACAACTTGATTTTCCAGTGATTCTACTCTAACCCTAGCAATCTTCATGCTGCTTCACACTCCCCAGTTGAAAGGCAGCTCTCAGTCTTTGAAATCACCAAGGACTACAACCTAGGTAAAGCACACTTTTTGCCAGCTAATGTTGCTTTCCTTGAAGAGGTTTTCTTAAAACTCTCTTTCAGTCAGACTAAAGCCAAACCCAACACAGGTGCAAACACTCGCAGCCCCCACTGCCTCCTCAGGAGGCCAGCAGGAGCTGTAGCCATCTTACAAGGGCAGGCTGTGACCTTGTGTTACCACACAGTTAGTTCCTGTTTTGTTTTGTTTTTTAATTAAACAACACTAAAAATACCCCTGTCCCAAAGGAGTAGTGCTCTCCAACTCTCTGTTTACCTCTAGCGCTGAAAGAGAAGCAGGTACTTAAGACCAAACTGTATTTGTATGTTTGAGTACGGGAAAAATGAATAGTTTAGTTTGATTAATTATCTTTCCTTTCCCATATTTCCTTTTTATGCTCTCTCTATGCAAATTGATCACAAGCAGGTTTCTAATAAATTCAGATCAGTTAGAACTTTTAACCACAGTTCTAACAGTTGAGGTCTAATGTTTCTGAATGTGCACTTCATGCAACTACAGGGAGGATTTTTCACATGCTACCAAAACAAAAGATTACTTTTTTATTTTTCTAAGGAGCTCTTTATTACTGAAAGGCCAATGGTTATTTATATCCAAATGTTTTTATTTGCTTTGTAAGGCATCTGACCATAAATAAGCATTTCAATTTCTAAATATTGTCTTCATCACTTTGACAGTAACTAAACAGTTTAAGTGCTGACTTTAGTTCTTTCTCAAATTGAACAGAGTCTTCAAGTTTTAGATTTTTTTGGACTCATTTGGTGCTTTTTTTTTCCTTTTTTTTTTTCATAAGACAAACAAAACATACAAAATTCTTTTGATATATGATCAGTAAATGTCCAGTGACATCTCACCCCCAAGAGATTCCCATCTCACTGAAGTTACTGCAGATTCTCATTCACTCTTCTATTTAATTTTGAAAATTCTCTAAGATTTGGATTTGTTAAAAACACACCTAACTGCAACTAACCATAGAAGGATTCCTGGCATTCCCCAGCCCATGGAGGACCATATAAACAGAAGTGCCATATTACGGGAAAGTTGCTGTCTGGCTCTGTCTCCATTCTAGCTCTCCTTGTGCCCTTCAGGGTACTCCACTCTCCCTCTACCAGAAAGATCACTTCAGAAGCTGAAGCATGTACTAATCGGGCACAAATCTGCAATGGGCACGCAAAAGGAGAAGATGGCTTTTAAATAGAGTGTGACCCAACTACTGCTTACCATATGAAGGCCAGCCATATGTCAGCTTTTCAGGAATTTAAGCAAGTTAGAGTCAAAAGGAAGGAGTCAAAGGAATTAATCACCCCAACTGACAGTAAACACTGATTTTTCAGTTGAGGCACGGGTCTAAGGAGGCAAAAACCCTTTAAGGTTTATTATGACTAAACCAGACTAGAGAGCCCCAGTTTGCATGTCCTTAGAGACACAGAAGATCTGAAGGAAACAATGCAACTGGCCCTAAAATGTTGCTCCAAAAGCTCCAGAGCAATACTGCTCCATTGCCAGTTCAGTATTTACTACTTGCACTTCAGGGACTTATCATAGCTGTTTCATATTAACTTGAAAGATAAACAATGATAATAATCTGAACCTTTCTAAGAAGGAAGTTGCACTTTTTTTTTATGATGCTGTTAACATCTTACAAGTTCTCACACTTTTCTGACAGGAAATTTCCACTCATCGAGTTCTCTGTTACATTGCAAAGAGATAAATACATCCTCAACACACTTTTTTTTTTTCATTTTGCCTTCCTGCAATTCAAAACCTTCATCTGCTCCTTCCAACATAAACTACCACATTTAATCAAAAATAAGTGGAAGAAGAAAGTCACACACTGAGACATCAGACTGTAGTTCATTTCACACAGGTAACAGATGTGCTGGTATCAGCCCTGTGTGGAAGGCTTCCCCAGATAGGTTTGTACCATCTCATCCACATCTCTCCTTTCTGAAAGTATGGCCTTCAATACAACTGAAATTTCCTAATTTCCATAACTGGAAAACCTTCACATTGCTACAGAGAGTAGAAAGGACTTAAGACACAAAACCTTGCAGAAGGTGGATTCTCTCTCTTCTTCATAACTGAAATCATTCAGACAGAAGGGGAGTCAAGCAAGCAGTCTTGTTCCCTTAGGCACAGGAATTACCAATTATTCTTCAAAGAAGTTGTCAGCAATCAGAAGGTATCATCAGTTCGAAAAAATCACTCTCCCACTAGAGTAATCATGATTGGTAAGGCAGGAAATTTCCTACAGTCTCAAGTAATTAATAACACCCATAATTTCCACCTCAATCACAGAAAGCCTAGTTCTTTCTTCTAATGCCTGCTTAACATCTCCAAAGGGCTGCTGCACTCCCAAAAGAGCTGCTACACTCCCTAGACTGCCTCTTCTGGCTGCAAAGTCCCAGAGAGCACCTTGTCACACCGGAAAGCCAGTGGAAGCTTTTCATCCTCCCATGGGGTCCTGATAAAAGAGTTTTTTCACTCATTGACTCCTATCTGAGCCTGGCCTTGCAAGAATTCATAGGACCTTTGAGGATGATAGACTGGTCAATAACCTGAGCAAAAATAAGATGGCCAGAAATGATGCCCATGGTCAACAAAGCAAATAGCAAAGTGTAATATTCCAGCTGCCAGCTAACTAGGTCCAGACATAACATTAATCAGCAGTCCTCGCACAACGCGAAACCCACTATCAAGTATTTTCTACGTTTCAAAATTGCTAATATGGGTGTCAAGCTGACATTAAGACACAAAAGTAGCTGCCATTTATGGGTGATTATAGGTTTTATGAAATGTCTTTATGCTACACACAAATGGTTTCACATTGTGAAACTGATAACTTTATATACATTATTCAACAGGCGCTTACCATTATTTGCTATGGTCAACCTCACACCGCAAGACCACTACTGTTCACATTAACAGTTGCAATAATAGAGTATGAATCATCTTCACGGTCTACACAGTGCATGTCATGTACTTTGGGGGGTTGAACAGTTAGTTTAACCATTAAGCACACTCTAGGAAATTGCTAGACACGTTTGAAGTTAGTCCTGATAGGTCTGTAGGTGTAAAAATATTTACAGCTAAGATGCTTCTTACTGCTGTGACAGGGAAGAAAGGTGTATAGCAAACCGCCTGTAAAAGTGAAAGAAGAATGCACACTGTTTAGTCAGCGTCAGAGTGGAACACATATCACAAGGGGCTACATGTGGCTTCCGCAAGGAAAAGCATGCCAAACTTCGCTCCCTCACCACTGAGTACCATAACTGAATACGCTATGCACGCTAGCAAAGAGGATTTCTGGAAAGAATATGGCTGGCTGGTAGCACTGATTCCTTTCATATAGTTTATGTCAAATTTTGGCCCTGAGTCACATTAATCTAAAATCTTTTACTGGTTCAGTAAAAAACACCTGCTCTCTGCCCCAGTGTTCCTGATGGTAGCTATTTCATCTCAAAACAAGACTAGCAATGTGGACATCTAAATAACCTCAGTTTTATGCTCTCTACTGTACAAAAAATCTTTATGCTGAGAAAGTGGAACCTTTACTGCTTAAACCAGTATACAAGACACATATTTTTCTTTACTGTACTACTGAGACAAAAAAAAATCCTTCATTGTACAATTTTTAAAAAACACCAACCACATAATCACATAATGATGCTTCTTAAGAGTACATCAGTAATTTATAAAATGAAAGAACTTCTTTCCCCCCAGTCAACAGTAAGGAAGAAACCGATTTTGAAACTCATCATCTTAGTAGATTGAGATGATACACATGTAGTAACAGGCTTAAAAAAATCTAAAGCATTCTTTACTGTTTTACCTCTTTGTCTGAATTATGTATTTTGCTTTTGAAACAGGTGAAAAATTAGCATAACCCAAACTTCATTTTCTCTCTTAATTCTAATCAAAAAGTTATTGTAATATTTTTACTTGTTTGTTGTTTGGCTTAAGCACCAAGGTGTATTGGTTTTAAATTATTCTGAAATACGACACTTAACTCTTTTCAGTCATTTTGTTGAAAAATTATCTGTGTCTACTTATAGTCACTCAACGGCTTCCGAATCAGTTTACAAGTAAAACAGTGTGGTATATTCTCCTAATTGTCAGAACCATAACCTATGATTTGAAATTTCAACAGTATTCTTCTGAAGTTACCCAATATTACTCCAACTTAAATTGCCAGTTATATGCATATAAATTTTAAATACTGTTACTGCTACAGAAAATCTTCTTGTCTTTCCTAGACTACCTTGGAGAAGAACTTAGCCTTTACAGAACGACCATACACTGGTCAAACAAGCTGCGTCTGAAGAGACGATCCTGGAAGAAACTCCATTCCTGAGCTGCACCTCAGCTGCATTTTAGGGTGACCACCAGGTCTTCCCCAATAGGAAACCCAGGTGCCTGGGGAGGAGCCGAGTGCCTGAGGGCTCTCTAATCTAGGTAGTTAGGGAGTGGGGACTGCACAGAGCACTTGCCAAGCAGCTGAGACACAGCTACAGGCTCCAGAGGATTAATTTTCTGCCTATCTTTTTTTTTTTCCATCCCTGACGCTGTTCCTCAGCTTTTGCATCAGGGCTGCTCTATGGGCATCAAAGCATAAGACTTCCAGAACATCAATCCTTTACCACAGCTTTGTAAATTTCTGAGCTATCCATATCTTCTACATGCTTTAGAATTAGGGACATAAAATAGGAGTCATTAAAAAAAAAACAACCTAAGTTCCTCATTCAAAGAAGCCATGCTTTCATACATGGAAATATTGCCTGTTTAAGGGTTTTGTAAGCTGTCCATTAATTTAAAAAAAAAAAAAAAAAAGTTAGAAAGGGAAATGACATAGAAACCACATCTTAATTAGATCAAATTCCTATTGAACATCTTAATATTCAGAAAATCAAGTCTACTCTGCCATGTGATTGCTGCTAAAAATAGTTATTTTCTACCATTTTTCACAGAATGCAACACTCCTAGCCCTCTGCACTGCCACCCCATGCTCCATACCGTTCTCCCACTGGCAATCTTCCTGATTAAGACAGGGAAGATACGATGACAATATAACACACTAAGAGGCTTCTGCTTTCTCTTCTCTCAGGCCCCAAGCTGAGTAGACCCACTGTAACTACTAAGACACATCAGAACTATCACTCACTTTAACTTTTCAACTGTGTTTCCCCACTCAGCGTGAGCCTAAGGCTCTTTTTGGCCTCTCTGACTTCAGGAAAGGAAGCTGCATAAGCTATGGGTATTGTCAACGCCTGGCAATGGCGTTGTGACTTGGACCAGCCATAGACAGGGTTGGATTTGCAGCACCTGATGTCCTAGCTCTTGACTCCTATATCTAAGTTGCCTGGCCAAGTTCCCTTTGCAGTTAAGGGAGAAAAATTGGTATATTCAGAGTACTTCCATCTGTCCTATTTCAGACCTTTAGGATGAGAGGAAATCATGTCCTAAAAGTGCCAGTTTCTCAGCACTGACTGCAAAAGAGTTCTAGACAACCAGTTCAAATGTGGACATGCGTAATGTAGATACTGACTGCATGGGTCTGATTGACACAGCCAGATGAAAACATTTTATTTATTCTTATGAAGGATGACTTGACTTTGGAGTCTAATGTAATTTAGTTGCATTTAACATTGCACCCTAAATATGTACAGTTATAAAACATCTACCTGCAACTGTAAATCAAATGACTGTTTTCCAGACCAGAAGAATTATAGGCCATATGAAATGAAAAGAATTATAGGTAATATGAAATGAACTGCTTTTTATTTAAGATACTCACCTTATTTCCAGTACCAAAGAAGAATTGATTTTCCAGCCTTCTACAGCATGCTGGAAGATTGAGGAGCCACCCTTTCGAATTATCTTATCAGAGCTATTGATCATTGATCTACTTAAACTCAGTTCACCATCTCTGCAATGCAATAGAGAAAAGACACAATTACATCAAGGTTAACTCTAGTTTTAAGTAATTTATGTCAGAAGAACCAGTGATATTTCCATTTATTCATAACAAAATGAACCAATTATCTCCCCTTCAGAATTATTCTGCTTGCCAAAGCAAATAAACTGTACCTGTGAGAAATTTATGGGACACCTATATCTTATACCTGCATATGCAATTTAAGATCTTAAATATGTTTGTATTTGTAATGAAACAGACATAACAAAAACTACAATAAACTCCAAATTGTGAACCTGGACCAAACTTCAGTGTGTTTGTGAGGCAGATTCTGCATTTCTGTTCAAAATTTCCAGTATAAAACTGAGAATTAAGTATTAACTTTTAAGCCTTCCCCCAGCAATTGCTGATGTTCTACAATAATGGCCTAACCGACTCCCTTTGCTTCCCATTGATCCTAAAAGACTTTCATGCATGGAATTCTGGAGCTTAATGGCATATAAAACACAACATTTTCCAAGACTTCCTGAAACTTTTGTATGCACACGTTCAAACAACCCCAGTTGTCTTATCCTCTTCATAAATCTTACCATATTCATATATTTTGGTAAGGTAACCTTAAAAAATTAAAAAATGTAGTAAGCTGTGGGTGATGACCACTGAACATCTGATGAGGTATCATAACGTTACCAGTTGCAATGATATTAGCAAACAGGGTCACACAAATGTGACAGAGAAGCTAAAACACTGCAAGCACAACTTAAGGTGTTAGGTCTAAAATCTGGTTTTATCTCCATATGTTTCCAACATCTTCAATACTGTTTCCATTTAGGTGCCAGAGTTCAGCTGAGTTCAAATGTAGCTGTTAATCATAAATATATCTAAGTTGTTGGACGTAACATTCTACCATGTTGAATGTCTTGTATCTCAGGAGTATATACAACAGTTATATACAGAAATCTCTTCATGCTCTGAAATACTGCCAATAACAATAACTTCACTTAGCTTGCAAACAGAACTTTTGACCACCAACCACTCACCACCAAAACGGAAAAGATGTGAGACTGTAAGCTTTCTAGGGAATTGCCGACTCTTGTTTTCCTGTGGCTGTAAGTTATCAAAACAATTGGATCCTATCCCTTAGTAAGAGCTACAGCAACATTACTGCAGCATATATATAAAGTATTAATATTTGGTAAATTATATAGCAGATTAAACTCAAACTAACCTGCAATAGTACATTAATTAAGCTAAATTAACAAAACTGGTAACATGTAGTCATTTGCAAAAAGTGCCATGATTGCAAAAGCCCCTGTAACTAATAAATGAGTACTATACACTTCATCAAAAACATTGATTACTACCAACGCTCTCCCTCCCTCATCCCCTCTATGCCAACATGCTGCAGCACTGACATTGCACTGACTCTTAGTAGGTAAGAGTGCCACCTACCGAAAAACCTACAACTTTAAGCAATCCTGTAGGTACAAGATCTGTATGCAAATTATCCAAATCACACTAACTTGAGGGCATAGGAGGATGCTGCAGAAATCCTAAAATTCAATAACCAGAATGTAATTAGTACTTTTTGCTATTTTAAAATGTTTTATTCCCTAAAAATTTTCCATAATGGTTGTAAATATATTTATTACATATATTTTCCTGCATGTATTTTCTAGATGCATAGAGTGTATGCATCTAAAGGAAAATTACCAAAATACATCCAGGTAAAGTACTCAGTCCAAAAGTACTTCAAAGATGTCTCCAGTTTATGCTGGGTTAAATGTTATCCAGTAGACACTTTAACAGTGACACAGGTGACTAAACTTATCAACAAAATATGTGGTCAACACCTAAAGCACTGTAGCATTTGAAATGTGGTTGTCTTCCATACTCACAATTTACATCTGCAGTGAGCTATATAAGTTCTACAGTAGAACAATGTTAAATTACTAGCTCTAATGAGCTAAAAGAAGGTCCTAGGCACTTCCTGTTAAAGTTCTACTATGCACACAAAGGTGTTCATTTACATGCTCCTCTCCCTTTTACCGGTATTGTTTTACTAATTTTCATGTAAAGTAATATTAAATAAACTAACACATAAAAAGCTAAATTTACTCCAGAAAATTCTTCATTGTGTAAACAACTGTGAAATAAATTTGGGCTACTTTGTTTCTTCTAGAACCACTGCAAGTCCTCTCTGATGTAAATGAAACAGCTGCCATAGTGTGACAGCAACTTGTGGCTGACAGTGTCAACCTTCACTGAATTACCTTGCCGTGGTGTCCAATCAGACCAATATAGTAAGACTATCTCTTCTCCTGAAGACAATTCATTAAATATAAATAATTGCCTTCAAGCACATTCCATATCAGTAGAAGATAACACTATTTAAGAAACACTGCATTCCACATAATGCGCGTTTTTCATTACTTGCTTAACCTTTAACGGGACACTGCTGTCTAGTTAAAGGAGGGCACGCTTCCACTATTACTGTCCTGGCAAACTTTGCTATGAGAACACAGCTGATTTAAGGTTTATCACATACTTTGGAATTGCACAAAGTCTATTTTGGAATGTCTGGGATTTACCTGCAGTGTCACTAATAACCATAAAATGGGCCACCTCGCGCATTCACAGTTCTGCATTACCAGTACTTCTGGATGTAAAACATCCCACGGAAAACTGACTTTGCTTTCCCTTGTGGTCAGTCAAAAATAACCAAATGGCAGGAGCCCTTCCTTCAAGGAGAAAGGCAAGTGTAACATCAATAGTGGCAGCAGATACTAGTAGTACACTAGGGGCTTTTTTCCTGCTTCGTACAGTGAAGGATGGGAAGACAGGCTGTGAAAAGAGACTATATTCTGATATTCTTAGCCAAAGTGAGTAGCACCATACTGCACATGAAGTCTCACTGATACCAAAGAAATACAGAGATCACTAAATGACCTGGCAGAAATACATTACAGCTATATTTTAAAGTGTTGTTAAGGACATACATATTTATAACTAAATACACTTACTTTCTTTCATTTAATATTAAATCATCAGTTCATTTTAGTACCTTTCAAATCGTGTCAAACAATGTATCATAAGCTGGAGGGGGCTTTTTTTGCAAATACGTATGGATTCTACCTAGTGACTAATTTCTGAATCATTTTAGCAGCTACCTCTAGTCTGACATGAAGGAGTATGTATTAAGAAAGATGGGTATCTTTAATGCTGATTCTCCCTCACACATTCGTTTTCACATATATTGTTGCACACCTACAACCCCAAAATTTTAAACTTTTGTATGTCTCATAAGTATGCAGATACCACAGCATCGTGGCAGATACCCAGGCTGAACAAGAGGGAAAGTTACCAGCAAGTTGAGAAAATCTTTAATACCAAGGGAAGCACAACCATACACACACAAAGGAGAGGCCACCCCCTGCTCCCGGGAGGTGCCGGGGCCACTGCCGCCCAGCTGTGCCCAGCTGCACCCAGCTGCCTGCGCCCCGCTCCCGCACTGGCCTGCCTGGGCAAGGGCCGGGGAAGAGGGATGCACCTTCTGCCTTTAACTCTGGGGATGCAGAGACGAAGGGGGGACTAAGTAGGTTGTAATTGCCCCAGCTTGCTCCAGGCCCGTACGGGCTCTTACAACCTCCTTATGCCTCCTCGTCAAATTCAGGCAAGGGCTTACACCGAAGGACAAAAATCTGCTGTGAATGCATCTCCCCCTCAGTCAATTTGCACAAGCAAATAGAAAGCGTGAGCCCCTTCCTTGCCTTTGCTGATTTCACTATGCCACCGCGGAATTTATGCATTCCTTCTGTGAAAACAAAAAATTATACCCCTCCAAGAAGAACAGGCTTGATTGAAAACCCAGCATCTTCACAGGATGTTGGGAGAAAAATGAGGAATACAGGCATGTACACAAACACGATGTGCAACAAAGAGAAAGCTGAGGTGCAAACAGAAAAATGGCAAGGGACTTTTTGCCTTTTATTTTCAACCGAAGATAGGCAGGCACGGGAAAATAAGTAACAGGGGCTCTCAGCAAGAGACCAGAGTTTCCAGCGGAAGGGCCTCGTGAGCTAAGGGGGATGTCTCTCACACTATCAGAGCAAACATCTCCAAGGAGCAGCGAAGTTAAGCACAGCTCCCAGGCAAACTTCAAGGACAGAGGCAGGAGCCACCCGGAGCTGACAGCGACCGCGCACCCCGGCACGGTCGCCTCGGAAGGGCTCCCAAAGCAAGAAACGAAGCACAACGCGCGCCGGCGGCCGCCCCCACCATCTCCAG